TCACACCTTACGGTCTACTCAAGCACGGCACAAATAATCTTACAGTTCGGCCATTCTGCGAATACATTCGTCCCGAATGTCTTAACGGAAATTACTTCTCAAAAACAAAAATAAAATATACTCTAGTAATATAATTTCAATACAACTTAAATTATTCGCATAAACCCTTACTTATTTTTTAACATAAATCATAGTATTATTATTATTAATTATTCAGACTTTCATTTTAAACATTACTTACTGCACGCAAAACTTAAACTATTTTAAACTTATGATTATCGCATAAAACAACACTTTTTATTATCTTTATTCCAAAATTTTTATGACTCTGGTTGTTTTATCCAATATTTTATTTTATCTGGGGAAAGTATAGAGTTATAAGGCCTGGAGGTCACATTAAAACCTGGAATATCTTGAATCACATATCTATTATTATTTAAGGCCTTTGTAACCATATACGGACCCTTATAACATGGCTTTAACTTCTTATCTTCTCCGGGTTTTACCGCAGTATCTCTTATCATAACGTAATCTCCCTCTTTATACTGAGTTGGTTTCTTATATTGTTTATCATAATTGGCTTTATTATAATCTTTTATTTCATCAGTCATTTCTACAGCTAATTCATTAGCGATATCTTGTTCATCCGATACTTTTAATTCAATTTCTGCTAATTGAGTTAAATTTTTAACCAACTCATTATCCGAGTGACCACGTTGCTCATAACCAAAAAGTAATTTTGAAGGAGAAGCCTTCACTGAAGAATGAATTGTATTGTTTATCACAAACTGGATAGATCCAACCGCGGAACTCCATGATTGTTGTTCCCCAACAATTCTTTCAAGAGATGCTTTTAAAAATCTATTAACTCTCTCTACTATGCTGTTTGCCCATGTAGCATCAACAGCAACTTGATGATGTTTAACCTTATGAATTTGCATAACTTCTGAAAATTTATTCGAAGCAAATGCTGTACCTTTATCCGATACTAAAATATTTGGATTTCCAAATGTGTTAAACAATAGTTCCATATGTTTGATAACTTCTTTTGTACTGGTAGATTTGACAGGAAACAACCAAGTAAATCGCGTAAACGCATCTACTATTACCAAAATATGCTTGTATCCCTCAACTGACTCTGATATTGGGCCAAAAAGGTTCGTATGCCAAATTTGACATGGGGATTTAGGGTTATCTACCACTTGTAATTCGCCTTCGCCAGTATTAATAGATGCATTTGTCATCATACAAGTCAAACAGTTATCTATATAATCTATCACTTTCATTCGTAAAGAAGGACACCAATAATTCTCATATATACCTTGGAAGGTTTTGTTAACGTCGCAATGCGCCTTATCATCATGATATATCCGAATAATGTTATTTATCATAACTTCTGGAATTACAAATCTAGGTTTATCCTTTCCTTTATGAAAGACAAGTCCATCTATTAATGTAAATTTTTCGTTATCCTCAACTTCTAATTTTTCCGCAATATTCTTTAACTTAATATCACGCAACTGCTTATATTCTAGCTCTCTTTCAAGAGGCATTGGTTCTAGATACGCAACATCATTATCATTATCCTCAAACTCTAATTCTTGTTTATTTGATTCATTACAATTAGTATCGACATCTTGCAATAATGACAGTATATCTTCAGATTTATCTTTAATTTCTTCTGTAGTAGCTACTTCTTGAAATAATTGAATTTGATTATTAAATTCAATATCAGATGGTTTACATAAAATTGAAATATTATTCTCTTTAAAGAAATCTAAACCAATAATTAAATCAAAAGAAAATGAGTCATTATCCAATACCAATAAAGAAATTGATGCTTTTAAATTCGGCAATAAATCCAGAGAAATTACCGTTTGAGCAGATCCTAATATATTAACAAAAGTATTATTCACCGCTTTATATCGTTTTATTTTTTCACTCTTTTCTAAATCGACTTTTATAAACTTTGCAAAAACCGAAGACTTAATAAACGAAACGGGACTTCCGGTATCTAACAACGCATTCAACTTACATGGAATTTCATTCACCGAAGTTACAATAATACGCGCATCAGGAATTTCTAACTTCCTACCGGAATCTTCATTCACTGTCGCAATCTCCATCTCCTGAACGTCTTCTTCCACTGCAGATACCACTGATGCTGGTTTGGCAGTTACCACAAGTGGTGATTGCTCCTTCTTTTTTAACTTGTAACAGTCAGCTCGGACATGACCTTTTGCCCGGCAATAAACACAAAACACATCTTTGTCCGATTTTGACACTGAGCTATCTTTAGGAACTGTGTCCTCACTATTTTTCACCTTATCATTTTTGACCTCTTGATGAAGAACCTTTCTAGTGGGCTCGGCTGACACCGATGTTATCCGTTGCATTTCTTCCAGGAATTCTTCAACTGTTGCACAATGAAACGCCGCTGCTGTTTCTCTCAACGATCGGCTTCCGACACCATTAATAAGTAGATGAATGGCATCTTCTTCTGGCAAGTTTAGATTTTTCATCAGCTCTAACTTGTCCATGGCGTAATCTTGGAATTGCTCTTTTGGAAAATTCCATCTTCTTGCTTCAACTTTTTGCATAGCCACATGAAACAATATCTTCCTTTTAAATCGACGTATTATGGCTTCTTTAAATATCTGCCATGATTCGATCAACGTTGTTACATTGAGATCAAACCATCTTTTGGCATTTTTGACGAGTTTACTAGAGGCTGCTAAGAGTAACACATCATCCGAAACTGCATGGATTTGTGCAATTCTCTCTCCAGTCTGAATCCATGTTTCTATCTTTTCTTCTTCTGTTCCGGCAAATTCAGGAATTTGAGTCGTCAACAATTTAACAGCGTGTGCGGTCGCTGACGAAATTGGCTGGCGACGTGTAATTGAACTATCGGGATCCGCACGTATAACATTGTCTTCACTTGTAATATTACGTATTCCATTTTGAGAGTTCTCACGAGACAAATTAGTTAACTCGACCATCTGCTGCATCATAGCTTGATTTTGCCGCTGCTGTTCCTGTTGGTTTCGAGCTTGTTCTCGTTGAAACTCTTGCTGAATAAGTGTTTGTTCTTGTTGGATACGCCTTTGTTCTTGCTTATCCTCTTGCTGGATACGCATTTGTTCTTGCTTTTCTTGTTGCTGAAGACGCATTTGTTCTTGCTGGATACGCCTTTGCTCTTGCTTATCTTCCTGTTGGAGACGCATAAGCTCTTGCTGGAATCGCCTTTGTTCTTGCTTATCTTCCTGCTGAATACGCATTTGTTCTTGCTGGAGACGCCTTTGTTCTTGCTTATCTTCCTGCTGAATACGCATTTGTTCTGCCATCCAAGCACATATTTGAGATAAATCAGATGATCCTGTCGGCGTCGTTACTGCGACTGTTGATTGCATCGCCTTAGTTTTAGTGGCGGCACGCGTTTCTCTTTTTTGTAGATCGGACGTGGCTTGCCTTTCCAAATGAGACATGATCATGTCTATACAGCGCGATGTATCGTTCGGAGGATTTAGCCCATATTTCCTGGCTTCATCTTGTAGCTCACTCACAGATAACTTTTCTAACTGCTGCCGATCCATATTTTCTTGAATACCGACGACTGATCTTCATAAACTGGCGGGAGACGCTCAGGAATATTCGAGACGTATCAAATGGCGGGAAACCGCTCGAGAACGTTCGACCGTGGTAAGATGGCGGTTGACCGTTGCACCCAAAATGGCGGGGAAACCGTTCGAGAACGTTCGAGACGTAATTTCACACACGCGAATATATGTTTCTTTGCAGCGTGGCAGACCGATATCACTAGTCGCCGATCCACAAATATCAATGTTTTTTAACGTCGTTACGACGAGACAACGTCTTTCACTAGATATTACGATAACGATAACGGTCGTTGACCCGAATATTTTCCACGGGATAACTGGCCGGAAATATCGCACTCGAAAATCTATTACAGCCTTGCACGCTGTACTTTACTCGCCCGAGCAAAGGAATGAGGACAAAAGGAAAAGGGAAATCGGTAGCAAGCCGGATCGCTTTACGATAATGGCGGTACACGATGAGAATCGGTAGCAAGCCGGATCGTTCACGATAATGGCGGTACACGATGAGAATCCCACTTCTGAACTGTAAAGAGTTTAATTTGTTCTGTTCTTGTTGTTACGCACCGTATTT